TCCCCCTAATCCTAGCTCCCAAGATCGTAGGTTGCGCACCCTGCCTGCGCTGCGGAGCCAGCCAGCGCAGGCTGGATCTGGTTCGGGGGTTCCTTGTGCCCTCAAAGAGGGGGTTTTGGGTTTAGGGTTAGGGTTTAGGGTTTAGGGTTTAGGGTTTAGGGTTTAGGGTTTAGGGTTTAGGGTTTAGGGTTTAGGGTTTAGGGTATAGGGATAGAGTTTCAGGGGTTAGGATCTGGTTCAAGTTAGCCCTCAGCCCCTTTGCCCAACCCGAACCCCGGACCCGGTGTTCAAGCAGGGTGTGAGTATAGGGGCCTCAATAATTACCTATACTATTTTGGGGTTTCCTTGTTATTACTGCTTGTAGTATAATATACCCCAAAACCCTAGTCTAAGTACTAAGGCCCCGACGTTATACACTTACCAATGTTCCTAAGGAGCCCGAATTACATGCGCCAAATTGCAAGACCTGGAAGCAAGGGCCCCTGATATAATCCCCTTTACGATACATATGACATCGCACAACCCTGAGCCCTAAACCCTAAGCCGCCCTGTGGAACTCTTAGAGGAAGTCTTTACGGGAACCTGGCTGCGAAGTCCCGTGATCCTTTAAATACAGACCCCCAAAGCCCTTAAACCCCAGAGCCCCCCGACCCAAAGCAAGGGCCTGTGAGATAATCCCAGCTAAGGCGCGTATAACTGTACATCCTACTTGCTACGTCACCTGATCCGTGAATCCTAACCCCGAACCCCCTTCATAGAACACGAACCTGCTTTTATCCTTTAAGAAGAGACCCAAAAGCCTTTAATTGAACCCTAAACCCTAAACGCCCCTAAACCCTAAAGCCTCTAAGCCCCTAAAGCCTAAAAGCCCCTAAGCCCTAAACGCCCCTGAACCCTAAAGCCCCCAATCCCTAAGGCCCCAAAGCAAGGGCCGCTTCTCCCTCAACCCTAAACCCTAAACCCTAAACCCTAAACCCTAAACCTCCCTCCACCGGGTCAGCAGGTTCGACCTGGTTCGTGGCCTGCGCGCGCATCTGCGCGAAGCACATGCCCGGCGCCTGCACTTGAGAAGGTTTAGGGTTTAGGGTTTAGGGTTTAGGGTTTAGGGTTTAGGGATAGGGTCTAGCTCAGTAGCTGAGTGAGTACACTTTACATTTTTTGGGGTTATATGACCCTTTATAGAACTGAAAGTGTACACTTTTTGGGGCTTCTGAACTCAGCAACTAAGCTAGGGTTTCAGGGAATAAGGCTCTTGGGGCTTTAGGTTGTTAGAGTTTAGGAGTTTGGGCTGAGGGTTTAGGGTGTAGGGTTTGGGGGAGTGGCTCGTGGTTAAGGTATCCGCCTTTTGGAAAGGGCTGTATAGGTTTACCTGGAACGCCCAAGTACCTTCCATTTTATAGCCGCGGTACCCACTACTGGTTTTAAACCAGATTGAAAATAGCTTGCCTCGTTCCCCTAAAACCTCAACCGTAAACGATCCCTACGACCCATTGAGGGGTCTGGAAGTCTCTGAGAAAGGCTGCCGACCTGATCGCCGCCGTTGCAAAGGGCGAGGACGAGGCAGCTCCGCCCTAAACTTGACTCTAACGGGATCGTTTGAGTCTTCCATTACGGGTCGTTCTATTGAGGAGGCTTTATAAAGGGTTCAAGAGGCTTTCCTGGCGCATTGGTTTCGTGGTCACATCGTATCATCAGCAGTGGGAGTTCGTATATTTCCGCAATGAACTCTACGGCACTTTATATTATTTCCCAAAGGGGCATATAAGCCACAACGCACACAAAGAAGATAGAAGCCCCAACAAGGGGTCGCCAAAGTAGGGGCTTTCAGGTTGATACCCTGATGTGGGGGTTTGGGGCCGGTGGTGTTCGTCTCCTTGAGGTTTCAGGATCTGGGCCCTTTTTTGGGTAGTTCTCTAAATTAGGGTCCCTTGTAGGGCCCTTTTTATAAGGGTGGCGACTGTACAGAACTACCCATATGATTTGGGTTCTTTTTGGTTGCTTAAGGTACATACTCTGAGCATATTGACTTTACAGCTTCGGGAGGGTAGTGTAGGGAACTTGCTGAGACCATACTCTAAAGTTGCTTTCATCATAGCCCTGAGCCCGTACAAGACTGAGAAGCGGCAGAGAGAGCGTTGGGTTTCAGGGCTTTGGGGTTTAGGGTTTAGGGTTTAGGGTTTAGGGTTTAGGGTCTGAACATCGCGGAGACATGTCGTAGAAGCCCTGCACGCCACAAACGCTGTCTGGCGTTGACTGCGACCCGGGGACATGTACCATATTGTGCAGTTGCACACTACTGCAGTAGTAGCGAAGTGCCCAAACCCTAAACCCTGAACCCTAAACCCTAAACCCTAAACCGTAAACCCTAAACTGTCGTACAACCCCTGAGCCTGATAGACCCCAACTCCCAAGCCGCTCATCTGCAGGACGCCTGGCTTGAGCGTGAGGTCGCTGCAGCCGTAGATGCGGGTGGGCCGCTCGAATTATGTAAGCGTAGGGTTGACGGCTCGAGGGTTTAGGGTTTAGGGTTTAGGGTTTAGGGTCGAGGGTTTAGGGTTGAGGGTCTATGCTAAGTTAGACAAACCCTAGGGTTTCGGGTTTATTACCAGGGTTTATGGTTTTTTGGGTTTGAGGTTTAGGGGTCTTGAGGGTCTGTGCTAAGTTAGGGTTGAGTTAGGGCTCAAGATTTGGGCTAAGTGGGCTGGTGCTGCTAGGATTTGCTTCTGGCGCCAATGAAGTGGTTGGGATACTGATACGGGGTCGCTGAATTGCGGCAATTCCAGGATGGAAGACAGGTTTGCGGACGGTGCATGGTTTTTTTGTTGATTGTTTGGGGTGCCCAGGCTTCGCCGAGAGAGCTCTGGGGGTGTAAGTCCGTGAGGTTTCGAGGAGTGTTCTAGAAGATGGAGCTCTTACAGGCCCTATTTGATTGCCTTCTCTTTTTGTAGGGCTCTATAGCGGCACAGATGTTATCCACAATTAAAGTGCTCTAACCCAGGGCCTGGGGTTCGTATGCAGTGGGATACTGTCTTTAGATTCCTTGTGAGCTCTATAGTATCCACTGTGCAGTAAGCTAGTATGTAGGTAGGTTGCGGGGCTTCTGATGAGTATCACTCCCGCATGTTCGGTATGCTTGCAGGAGCAATCAGTTGACTCTTCGATGGTCCATTGGCGGAGCTTTTGCTCTTCAACGGTGATTGAAAATGGTTGGTCATGGTATTTGTATAGCTTTCATCAGGAACAATATGCCGCAAGAGCTAGAATCTGACACTGGGCGTCCAAGGTACGGGGCTAGGATCAGGATATTCCGGCGCCCAAACCACGGAATCAGTAAAGTCGACCTCCTAACTCCGTACCCTATTTGGGTTTGCGCGTGAGGCTAGCATGTCTCGAAGCCAGTGAAGGCTGAAGTAATTGTGCTCTTCGTCAAATCCATGCTCTCCCTAACCCTCAAGCCCACAGCCCAAAACCCTAAACCCTAAACCCCTCAACCCCTAAACCCTAAACCCTAAACCCCAAACTGTAAACTCTGAAACCCCGAGAATCCTAAACCAAACCCCCAGAATCCTCAACCCACAGCATATGCTTGCCAAGGCGTCTTCGCCCGCCGGGGGGCCGGGGGCGCCCCTCGCCGGAACGCCGGGCATCAGCGGGGCTCTGGCCCGGAGCTCGGAGTGATTTGGAGACGTAGGCTTCATGTGGGTGGCTGTCAAAATTATGGTCCCTTTTGGGGTCCGTAATATAATACGGCACCTAATATTTAGGGTACCCAAAAAGGGACCCTAATTTTGACGACCACCCATGTGGGTAGTTCTCTATATTAGGGTCCCTGTTTAGATCCCAATTAGAGTACAGCACCCTAAACCCCCAAAAAGGACCCTAAAAGGGAGCCTTACATGTTCAAGGTTGAGGGGGTATCGGATATAGTGCGACGTGGCGTTGCTTTGGTTGTCGCCTCTCCGGGCTTGTGACGAAAGCTTAGACCCCCGGGTGCCGGACACCAGCGGTATGTTTAATGCTGGCTCCTTTTTGTTCCTGCCTGTCACTGGCCCCAGGGGTTTAGGGTTTAGGGTTTGAGGTTTAGGGTTTAGGATGTGCTGCTGTCGGCACCCGCGTTTCGGAGTTGCTGTTTAAACAGCTGGTGTGGCCACGGCAAACAGCAGACCACCACTGGCTCTGGGGCGGAACAACACAAAAGCTTTGGGATGCGGGGGTCGACGGCAACATTGCGGATACTGCTCTCCTGTTAACCAGCAGTTGGGCACTTCTTTGGTGTGATGGTGCGGAGGGCCAGCAGCAACAAGAACACCCTGGCCGGGTTAAGGGTGTCAGCTGGGATGCAGGCGACGTTTACTTCTCAACAAATGGTAGAGTTTGAAAGGGTGTCGGCCGTGACAAAGGGTCGGCTAGTGTCGTGTTCTCCACTTTAGGTTGTTCATTGGTCAGATTTCCTGTCCGGGTTCCTGGACCGCACGTGTAAAACACTGAAACTTGCTCCTTAGAGGGGCATGGCCTGCGACAAGCACGGTTCAGGGGCTTCTTGACTTCCTAGTTCTTTACGATTGAAACAGAAGACTGTCATTTAGATACTATCTCATAAGTGCTTTCGTGCATTGCCCAAATGCCAGATAATATTGTCAAGACTGCTGGAACACATGCAGGATTACAATATCACCCTCAAAACGCAGATTCCAGCTTGTTTGGGTAGACCCCAAATAACCCAAAACCATAAGCCATAATCCTAGTAAACCGCAAAGGTGGGAGCTAGGATTAGGGGACCCTTGGGGATATAGACCCTCTCAATAAGGTCCCTTTTAAGAGAGCCGAAAGTAGGGTTCAGAAGGGGTACCCTTTAAAGGGGTACCCCTAATCATACTACCTAAAAGGGTGGAGACCGGAACAAGGGTAGGTCTCCATGAAGTCGTCCGTCGTTTAGGGTTTAGGGGTTAGGGTTTAGGGTTTAGGGTTTAGGGTTTAGGGTTTAGGGTTTAGGGTTTGCCAAATTCAGAGTGCTGTAGCAAGAAGCAAAGTAGCCAACAAGCAGACGGAGCTACTATAGGGCCCCAAATAATTACCAAGACTATTCTGGGGGTTCCTTAGTATAATATACCCCAAAACCCTATTCTGAATATTAAGGCTTAAGGCTTCTACACTAGAATTCCCGACAGCTTGTTTGCAGTCAGGTCACAAAGTTTCCAATTTCAACCCGTAGACCCTGTAACCTCGAAACTTTAACAACAAACCATAAACCCAGCGATAAGACCCGAGCCCCAACCCCTAAACCCCTATATCCTTAACCCTAAGCCCTAAGCCCTAAACCCTAAAATTTCTACATCGAGCCCCGAACTAAGCCCACACACGCGTGTATGTGGCCATGTGCTTTTCCTAGGATTCTGCTATCTTTCGGTGATTTCTCTTTCAAGGCAAAGGTGGTTGGAGGGGTGAGGGGGGGGTGGGGGGGGGGGAGGGGGGTGATTGCGAATGTTACAAAAACCAATTAAAAACTCGCTATTTACGGCATTTTCACCGGTTTATACAACATGTGCAGGAGGATGTTTGATGTTCAGCAACACGAGGCGCTGTCACAAGTGTTCATGCCACTTTGCAGGCATGCCCAAGACCCTGCTATTTACAGCGATTTCGCTTCTTTAAACAACGTGCATCTCGTTGGATACATCTACGGCTGGGTCTGGCGCTCGCAGTAGGGTCCCAAAGCGGATGTCACGGATCACTCCGGGAACGTGTGCTAAAATGAGTGCCCTAAGTTTGAGTCCCCGGATTTCCCTGAAGCAGGAATCCCTCCATTTCCACAGGCTCACACACGAAGTCATGTCATGTACAGCACTTGCCGTGTATGCCCTAGATCATACAGGCCCGCCGCCACGCGGCCAGATATCAACGTGTGACCCCTTAAGCTCCCTTTGCTCATGCTTGCTTCTGGCCGTCTAGCCCCAGGCTTGGTGCAGAGAGTGCCCTGGTTGCTTTTGAAGCGGGTAGTTCCGAGAAAAGGATTTTCGTTCTTTCTTAAGGGTGATGTCCTTTCATGAGAGGTTTATGTTGCGGGCTAATAGAAGGTTTCTTCAAGAGGCCTTTGCTAAATGACTCACCCCTACCTTTCTATTCGAAGCCTTCTATAATCATGAGTTTACCCTGCACCATAATTCGCAGGGTTGAGGGTTAATAATTACCTGTACTGTTTTGGGCGTTCCTCGTTATATGTCTAGTATAATAAATATACTATTACGGCTCCTACAGTAAATAATGCTCGGACTCAGGATGTAGGTCACCGTCTTCCGGGGTGTTCGTTCGGCTTTGGAGGGGCTCCAAATGATAGTTACTGTCTATTCGGATTGAAAAGGCTGTGATGGATCTTTTGAAGATAGCAGAACCTATTGTGATATTTTTATACAGTATAACATAATAAGATGTCAAGGAATCGCCATCTAATATGTTAGGCAAATGTACAATAGTGAAGTAAAGTTTAAACGCAAAAGAATAGAACATATGATTTTAACAAATACAATATGATATGGTATATGATATAATGTAGCATACAGTTTTAAAGAATAGAAGAGTATAAAGCAGCATAATACATATATACATATATACATATATATATATATAGATATGTTCGTATGCATGTATGCATGCATGTATATACATACATACATATACATATACACATATACATATGCATATACATATATATATATACATACATACATACATACATATACGTTATGCATGCACGTATACAAATACATATGCATATGCATATTCGTATACAAATACATCTACATATACATTCATACCGATACACATGCACCTATATATATATATACACATGCAGAATATGTATGTACATATATATATATATATAAAATATAAAAGGTATATATAACATATGCATATACACACACATATATATATATAAATATAAATACGTATGCATATATATATATATACACACACACACGTATATATATATATATATATATATAATTGCGTATGCATATGTACACATATACAATACGGCAGCTACTATCCTGCTTCTTGACACGTCAAGGTGCTGACCCATCTCAGGCCGCGTAGTCCGGAAGAGCCCCGAAGTTCCACTACGACACACAAAAGAGGTTTTCATGTAAGCGTTGCAGCTGTCATGCAATAGTTGCTCGGTAATTCGGTAATTCAGTAGCACTCTTAGGCCCTTTTGATACCAGGGTCTCCTCATTAAGATTGAATCGTGGAACAAAGGGCTCCACGTTTCAGGTCATGTGGGGGATACCGGGGAACCTCGGTTAGGGTAATCTGTTTGGCACCGTTGGAGTTATGCTCTGTTTGAAGCCTCCGAATACTGCTTGTAAGTGTATACAGCTACCTTGCTTCTGACCGCCTGACAACAACTGAATTGTGTCATAATTGCGGCCGCACCTGGCTATGGGTGCAGATCTTTTACTTCTGCGCCTACACTAATGAACCCTAAACCCCCAAACCCTAAACCCTAAACCCTAATGATCTGTAAAGTGCTACCAGGACGATCGGCCTGCTGTTCCTGGAGAGTGGGAATCGGAGGCGTGCAACCCGTGATGGCAAGGTTTAGGGTTTAGGAGTTTAGGGGTCTTAGGATTAAGGGTTTAGGGTTCCCTTAAGGGTTCCTATTAGAGTTCCTTTTGGGTCTCCTTTTAGGGTTCCCTTAAGCGTTCCTTTCAGGGTTTACAGGGGTGTAGGGGATTTGAAAGTTTGGGCTCGGGGGTTGAACTCGGGTAGGTGCAGGCATCCCCGACAGGCCCAAACGGCATAGGCCCGACATCCGAATTCATCCGAAACCCCAAAGGCCTTACAGCCTTATAATTCTAGCCTTATCAAGTTTGTTTATAGACCCTAAACCCTAAACCCTATACAACCCCTTTAAGGCCGCATAGAACCAAAGAAACAGCCCTACAGCTCTGAACCGTGTATCCTGAAGCAAGCCCTCATGGATCCGACCCCGTAGGCCTTGTTTAAAGCACTGACAACACCCTCACAAAACCCTTACGCCGGTTTAGGGTTTAGGGTTTAGGGTTTAGGGCCTTACGCAACCCCAACAAAACCCTTTCAACACAAGCCAATAAACCTTATGTAGCCTTTGTTAACGCCATTATAAAAACTCCGTAATGCCCAATTAAACCCTGTGCATGAAGCCCTTCCGCAACAAGCCCGACAGCCCTACGAAATCTTACTTGGAGGTTCGTGGCTAGTTATAAGTGGGGTTATAAGTCGCCTAATTAGGGTTATAGTTATAGTTACCCTACTTATAACCCCAATTATAACTACCCATGAACCTCCAAGTATACAAAGCTCGGGAGCCCCCAAAGCGTCCACAGCAGGGCCTGGACGCCGCGCGCCGCGGCGACGCGCCAAGGTCGCGGGCTCACTTGCGGCGTACACCTTAACCCACCAGAACCTACTTTTTTGTAGGGTCCCTATAAATCCCATATTAGGGTTTGTAATAAGAACCTACAAAAAAGTGGGCTTTGGTAGGTTAAGGTAGGGCTTAGGATTTCGATCAGGGTTCCTTTGTAAGGATTGTTGTTAGGTTCAGATCTTATGGGTTTAGGGTTACTGTAATACGGATTACTATAAGTGCTTTATAAAGATTGTACGTTCAGGGTTCAGAGCTTTAGGGTTGTATAGCGGCTCGAAGAGGGCTCCTACAGAAAGGCTTATTATCTGTAAGGCTTCCTTCAAGGTTTACTGTAGGGCATCGGGGTCAGATTTATGTGGTTTTAAAGAGATTCCAGTTTCGGGTTTGGGGACGGTTTTGGGATATAGGGAGTTTAGGTTTCTATACGGGTTCCTAGGCCCAGGGCGCTTATACCGTTTCCAAAAAAAGGGTTTTGAGGTAAGGGTTTGGGGGCTCTACAAAAAACGTTTTTTGTTATGGCTTCCTTGTAAAAGAAGGCCTGAGAACAAAAATGAAAGTATGTATTTAGGACACTGGGCGTTGAAGGGCTTCCGGATGATTTGGTTCTGGGAACAGCAGTGCATGAAGAGCTGAAGAGCTGGGCTCAAGCTGGGGCTTATGGGGGCTAGGGCTAGGGTTTCAGGGTTTCAGGGTTCAGGAACCCCAAACCTCAAACCGTTCGGCTGGCTTAGGCAAAGGCCACAGACGAGCCGAGGCTCCAGATGCAGAGCATGCCTGGATATTTCGATGTCTTCGACCCTTTCGAGGAGAGCTAGCAACAAACCCTAAACCCTAAACCCCAGTTACTAGGTGCTAGTACCCGTTTACAGACGTTCGCGAGCAAGTCCGCTAGTGTCTGTTCCGGAGAGGGGGGCTGCCGAGGCCGCCGCTTGACTAAAGACTCACTTTGGAGCAGCGCTTCCAATTTCTTTCGCATTTTTGGTCGACTCTGTTTTAAATTTAAAACAATTCACGTGTTTTAAATTTGAAACAATTCCTGTTCTTGCAAACTGTGCAAGAAGAAGTCAACCGACTCGTCCCGCTGAACGGCAGCCAGAATGATCAGTGTCGTGGCCGTCGGTTGTGGGGCAACTACTGGAAGGCATGGCTGGAGCCTGCGGCTTTCAGGGCCGGCTGAGAACTTTGCCAAAGCTTCGTAGCAAAGCAATGCAGGAAAAAGCAGTAAGCATCTGCACTGCGATTTCTCAATCTTTCCGACACCCATCAACACCCTAATGCAAAAGGGCCTTTTCCTGTAAACCCTTCTCATAATATAGAACCCGCTTCGTCGCAACCCTTTTTGTAGGGTTTACAGGAGCCCTTATTTCACCCTTTCAGTAGCCCGTATCTCACCCGAAACCCCCTAAGGGCCCTTTAAGTAGCCGCTTAATGAGAACTCTTATATATATATATATATTAAACCCTAAACCCTAAAC